GTGGTGCTGCTGAGCTCCTCTGTGAGAGTCAGACCAAGGTCCTTCTCCTTATTTCGCAGGCTGTACCTCACAGTCACCTTTGGGTAGCTCACAAATACGTGAGGAGATAGTTTAAGAGTGTTCACTGCAGTTCCAAACTTTTTGACAGCGTCTTACAATAGGAAATATGTTTTATATTTGGCTGCCTGGAAGACCCATGTTCACTTAGAAGGGGGGTTAGTTTAGACTTTCCTCTCAGAGAGGCAGGCTTGTTTCCTTCAATGGACCCCCTGCCTGATGATGAGAATAACAATTACAGCATCATGCATTTACTGAGCATGTTCTCTGTGTAAAGCTCTTCAAGTGTTATTTTTAAGCATTAGCTTCTGGAAAACTCAATCGGTATCACTGTTCATAGGAGAGGAAGCTATGGCTTGGCAGGGAAAGTGTCCTACCCAGCTGTCTTAGTCTTTCCTGTTGTAACAGAATACCTGGGTCTGAGAAGACTTATTTTGGCTCATGGTTCTAGAGGCAAGGAAGTTCAAGACTGGGCAATTGCCTCTAATGAGGGTCCCATGCTGCTTCAGCTCAGGGAAGAAAGTGGAAGGACAAGGAGGCTTGGGAGCAAGAGAGGAAAGGGGGGAAAATGCTCTGAATAGCTAATCCAGAAAGGCGTTGATCCATTCACAAGCACTTCACCCTTATGATACCAACCCTCCCCGGAGACCCCATCTCCAACCACTGCAGCTTTCAGGTCCAATTCTAAACAAGGTGTTGTAGTCAGGGTCTGGAAGGCAAATAATTTAATGCAGGACACATAATTTATTGGATTATTTTATGATTGTCACCCAAAGAGTCAAGTACAAAAGGGTGCGGGAAATCTGTCCACACATTAGGGAGTAAAGAATCCAGCTGAGGGCCTGGATCCCACTGCAGTGTCTTCCATGAGGGCAGCTCAAGATCTAGAGCCCATGGCAATGTCCTCCACGAGTTCAACTGGAGGCCTAGAGCCCATGACAATGTCTCATGCAAGTCTGTTTTACTGATCTGTGTTGAGAAGGCCCAAAGGTCAGTGGTGGAATTTAGAAAGTCTGTGCCAGTGGGATGAAAGGTCTGTGCCAGCAGGCCGAGGGATCTGCACTGGAGCCAGGAAGTGATGCTTAAGGTAAGGACCAGAACTCCCTGAAAGGTATCACCGCCATCCTGAGTGACAACTAGGTCCCGATAAGAGCAGCTGAGTTCATGTCAGGAAAGCAGGCACAACAATCTTCTCCAGGAGACTGAACAGTGCACCATCTTCCTGTCTGGAACCAAGAAGCGATGCTCAAAGTGAGGACCAGAGCTCCCCCAAAGTGAACCATAGCCATTCTCAATGACAGTGAGGTCCTGAGCTCCTCCGACAATGAGAACAGTCACATTCATGTCAGGAAAGCCAGCGTGAAATCTCCTCCAGGGGCGCCAACAACCTCCCTCTTCCTCTCCAATTCCCTTTTTATGTTGTTGGCAACAATCCTCAGGTGGGCCTTCCACACCCAGCACCACACTGGTTCAGTCCAGCTAGGTGTTACAAGTTGACCACCAGTTGTCAGTCTATCACACGTGGGTTTGGTGAGCACAAATAATATTCAGAGCAGCACCAAGAGAGCACAGCAGGTGGCCATAAGGAGGCTGAAACCCTGGCTATTCATCTCATTCCCAGAGCCTTGTTCTTTCCCTCATAATAGTGATTTTCGAGTTTCCAGAAGATGAGAACCATCTAGGGTGCTGGGCAGGGATATTAATTCTTCAGCCGTATACCTAAACCTACTGAATGAAAATCTCTAAAGAAAGGAGTTGGAAAGCCGTAGGTATGACAGGTGTTGAGATTCTTACAATGAAAATGTTTTAGGAAAGACTGTAGCACATCGGTGGTTCTGGAACTGCAGAGTGCTTTGGAATCACCTGCAGACCTGTTCAGAGCACACATGGCTGGGCTCGCCTCCTGAGCTTCTGACTCACTTCATCTGTGCTGGGGCCCAGTGGTCTGCGCTGTGAACAAGTTCTTACGTGAAGCTTCTGTTGCTAGTTCGGGAGTGCACACTGACAAGCATGGCAGTGTGTCGTGTTGTCCTGTGATTCTCGACTCCCCAGGGCAGAGCCTGGGGCTGGCTGTGGCTTAGACTCTTTGTCCAGCCAAAGTTCAGTACCTACAATCTTTATTCAGTGTCTACTGTATTCATATCCTTTAGAGATAGAAACTGAGTATCACTTTTTATCCCAAACCAAGCAATAATCTCCTGTCAAAAAGTTATACAGCATAAAGGGAAGTATATGCTATCATGAAAGAACAGATCAAACATAACAGGAAACCAAGGAAGCCAGAGATGAATTTTGACCTGGCAGAGGAATATTTGTGAAGGTCTGGAAGAGTTGAAATCTGCAAGCCTTGGCTTCTCATTTTCACACCATACATACTAAGCCTGTTGTTTGCGTGTCTCTCCTGTTGCCACTGGAATAATCACAGCACTTAGGGCACCTTTGCATAGCACATAGAGGTTCGGCAGGGATTTGGGAAAAGTAGAGATTTTGAGATCTCTGGTGTGTGGCCTGTGGAGAAGCCTGACTGGCAGGCTCAGGAGCGTGCTTGTACTATGTGTGTAGCCATTAAAGTGTTCGAAGAGGGAGTAACCGATCGTGGCTGTGGCAGGAGAGGGTAGAATGAATGGAGGAGAGAAAGTGCAGATAAGGAAGCAGCAAAGATCACTTCACAGGAGTCTGCTGAGAGGAGAAGAGTGACATTGGAGGGAGAATGAAGAGAAGGCAGGATGACGGTCAGGGGTGGGGAGAGGTGGGGCATGGAGAGATCTTCTCTCTGAATCTCTGAGAGGTTCTCACTTCTTTTCTTGAGAAAAAGGAATGAAGCAGGGAAAATACGGAGAGAAGTTTCCAGGTAAGTGAGTCATCTTGACCATACAGGAAGAGTCGCAAACCTCAGGCGGCCTTTCTTCTGTGCTCCCCCGTTGGTGTCTCCCAGAGCTGTGCCCTCTAGAATGTCCAGTGAGCTCTTCCACTGTCCTTATGACTAATCACAGTTTCTATTTATGCTTTTGAATGTGGGAGACAATGGAAAAGATGTAAACGGTTTTTGGTACCTTGTTTTGCCATATAGCGAGAATAGCGCAGCAGTCCTTGAGGATAGCTTCTTCGGTCACCCTGCTCCTCACCACTGCCATGCTCACCCCACAGCCAGGTCTCAGAGCTACTGATGTCTCCACACTCTGGAACTTTCTCTTAGTTCCTAGACCTGACCAGGTTCTGTTTTTCTGGATCTATCAGTCAAGATTCAGTTTCAGAAAACAGAAACATCTTTAGCTGTCTGAAGCTAAAAGAGAATGAGTAATGGCAGTGCAGTGTGTATAAAATCAATGGAAAAATGGCTGTGAGTCAAAGAAGGCTTCTAGAGGGACTGAAACAGCAGAAGGTTTGTCCAACAAGAAACCTGTCCTTCCAGCAGTCAGGAGGCAGGAGAGTTGAAAGCCCATACTGACAGCGTACCACTTTTGCTGACCTGCAGTGGCTTCTGCTATCACAGCTTTTGACGCTGGAGCCACACTATGTCTGTCTGATATGCTCACTGGTACAATAAAAATGACAGCCACAAAGGAAACATCTGGAACACTGCTACAGAAGAGTTCTGACAGCACTTGCCAGTAGAAACATCGGAACCTTCTACCTCCTCAATTTTGTGTGTGCGCATCTGGGCAGTGGGTCTAGTCAGGTCTAGAACATGGGCTGCAGGAGAGTTTTTAACCTGCAGTTGAGGAAGGCAGGTTAGGAAGTCAGAGTGGGTGTTCAGTGGCAGTGGTATTTAATTCTCTTGGAGTTGAGAAGTTTGATTAGGTGACGTGAGACAGGACGCATGTTTTTGTGAGTGTACTTTAGCAAAGCCCTATCTTTACCAACCTGTCTCTGCATGGATCTGTTTCCTAAGAGTTAGGAAGATGGGCTTTAGGAGTTTCTGCATATTGTTAAAGAACAAATCAGTTGTGTCTGTGTATTCTCAGTTCTTACAGTCAGTGGCTTGTAAAGTTATTACCTGTTCATATATATGAAAACATTAGAGGGACCAGTAGTTCTAAATACTTCCATGTGAAATTGACAGAACAATAGCCCTATTGTGTATTTATTCTGTTGTTGTTTTACAATAGGTTTCGCAGTACCAAAATTGATGTGTTTTCAAGCAGTTTGTAAGTCAGACAATAATACTTTGTCTTCAAATTTTCATTTATTTCCCCTCTTTGGCCAAATTAAGGCTTTTTGTGATTTTTGTACCTCCTAATACATTCTTAGGTATATGCAGCTTGTACCTACCAAGGAAAGAGCTTATGCCAGAAGTTTTTTGCGTACCCAGGAAAGATATGGATCAAGGCAAAACTATAACGTGAGAAGGCCATTCTATTTAGGGTGCGGCCCTGCTCCAGTCTGAGAAATGGAACTTTTGCGCTGGGCATGACAGTGCTGCCTATAGCTCAAACTATATGGGAAGCTGAGGCAGAAGGATTACAAATTTGAGGCCAGCCTGGGCAATGTAAGGAGATCTTGTCTTAAAATGAAATAAAAAGGGCTGGGGGTGTGGCTTAGTGGTACAGCATTCTTGAGTTCAATCCCCAGCGACCCCCTACCTTCACAAACCACAAAAGAAATGAAACTTCTGCTGTGAGCTTGGACCGGGAGCGAGTTAGAAATCAGATGATAGAGATATTTTAATCTCTTTTGTAATTAGGCTTTCTTAAGGTGAACTCACTATTCCAATGTAATGAAACTAAGCCATCACAGAGGTTACTTCTAAAATGTCTTCAGAACCAAATATAAATTATTTTTGGAATACTTATCACTTTGCATTGTTTGACTTCTTTACAACTTCTGCTTAATTCAGATGTCAGAGATCAGTGCTTACTTCAAAAGAGGTACAAAAATAGAGCAAGTGTTCTTGGCTTTATCAATGACTTTAAAAAGAAATGTATTGCTTTTGTCCCTTGTAGAATACTGTATGGAATTCCTGTTACGGATGAAAACCAAGAAAGTGTCAGCGTTCCTCCAGTGCCATCAAGGCTGCCCTCTGAAACAGCACGGAAAACTAGGTGGCGTTTTCACAACCCACACCTGGAACTCTTGGGACAGGAAGTAAGAACTTTCTTTCGTATTAGCTTTCTTCACCTAACAGGTTCTCAGACTTTTTGGTTTAAGACCCTTTTAACGCTTGCAAAAATTGTTGAGGACTCCAATAATTGTTCATGTGAGCTATATCTATTGATGTCTACAATGTTAGAAATTAAAACAGAAAATGCTAAAGTGCTTATTTGTTAAAAATAGGAATAGTGAAGTCCTATATGTTATATAGGTAATGTATTTTATAAAGATGCTTATGTTTTAAAAGCAAAATCATAGTGAGAAAGCTTGGATTATTTATTTATTTTGCTAATTTCATCATTGTCTGGCTCTACGGAAGACATCTGGGTTCTGAAGTTTGCTTCTGCCCTCACTTCTGTGGTTGCTTTGCTTGACACATGTGAGATTTTATGTGCTGTAGTTTCTTGAGAGTTAGTTTTGAGACTTCCACTTCTGGGGAAGGTAAGGTAGATTCACCTTTTCCTGTCCTTACTGCTCACTACAACTGAAAATTGTGGCTGTTTACAAACATAAGAAGACTGTAAAGGTGGAGAGGAGACACACTGACTAGGAATGTTAGAACCCAACGAGTGACACTGTAGTAAGTCAGTGTTTTGGGTTTTTTTTCTTGCTTGATGTATCCTAGACTTGAGCTGAATAAGCTGGTAATGTGTACCAACTGGTAAAGTCAACCCTGAGATACTTACACTTCTGTATCTGATTTATTTCACTTTATAGTCTCAAGGGGCAGCTGTTTTCTGACAAGTGACTTGAGTTTATCCTTTATGGCAGAATAGTACTCCATCTTGTATAAATACCACATTTTCTTTACCCTTTCATCTGTTGGGGGACATATAGGCTGCTTCCAGGATTTAGTTATCATGAGTTGTGCTGCTATAAAATATAGGCATCCGCGTAGCACTGTAACATGATGTCTTTAACTCTTTGGGGATCGTAGAAGGGAGAGACTGGGTCAAATGAAATTTCTGTGTTTAGTGTTTTGAAGACTCCCCTTACTGATTTCCATAGGGGTGGTACTACTTTAAATTCCCACCTGTAATGTAGAAGGGTTGCTGTTTCCCTGCAGCCATACTATCATTTGTTATTATTTGATTTCTTGATAATAGCCACTCTTTCTAGAGTAAGATGGCATCTCATTTTTAATTTGCATTTCTCTAATGACCAGAAATATTGAACATTTTTCATATATTCATTGGATATTTTTACTTCTGGGAAGGGTCTATTCATATCACCTGCCCTTTTTTGATTGGATTTTTTTCCGTGGGTTTGATGTTTTTTAAATTCTTTATATAGTGTAGATATTAGTCATTCTTCTGAGGAAAGCTGGCAAAAGTTCTTTCCATTTTGTTGCTTTGTCTTTTCACTGTTAGTTGTTTCCTTTTCTGTGAAGAAACTTTTCAATTTGATACGATCCCATTGGTTGATTCTTGATATTAATTCTTGCAATATTGGGGTTCTGTTCAGAAAATCCTTGCTGGGAGCTCCACTGGTGCAATCAGTTGGTGCACGGTACTTATACAGAAAATCCTTACAGTACCTATGTCTTCAAGAGTTTTACCTGTTTTACATTCCAGCAACATGCTTCTGTTCCAAAATGTGCTTCTGTTTTAACATTTAGATCTTTGATCCATTTTGATTTTAATTTAGGATATCCATCATTCTAGCTTTAATCTTCTGTATGTGAATAGCTAGTTTTCCTAGCAACATTTGTTAAAGAGGCTTTTACTCCAGAGTATGATTTTGACCCCATTGTCAAAGATCATATAGCTGGATGTACCTGGAGTCATTTCTGCATGTTCTATTCTATTCCATTGGTCCACATAGCTGTTTTGGTGTCAATTCCATGCTTTTTTTTTTTTTTAAATCATTGGAGCTTTGCAGTATAAGTTGAAGTCCGGGCTTGTGATACCTCCCACTTTGCTTTTGTTGTCCTGGATTACTTTTGCTATTCTGGATTTCTTCTAGCTCCATATGAATTTTAAGATTGGTTTCTCTACTTATATGAGGAATGCTGCTGACATTTTGTCTGAGATGGCATTAAATCTGTCTATCAGTTTTGGAAGCATGGCCATTTTGACAGTATTGTTCCTACCTATCCAAGAACAGGGATACCTTTCCATTTCCTGATGTCCTATCTGATCTTCTTTTTCAGAGTACTATAGTTTTTTTAATGATGAAGATGATTACATATATTTTATGTAAATTGTGTACTATAGATCCTTTATAACAGCAAATTTTACAATGAATGTATGTACATCTACACATGCATACATTCTTTCTTCTGGAAATTTGATTGTTATTGTGACTAACACACACAGCATAGCTTATTTCAACTCAGCATGGGGAGTGTTCTGAAGGGCACATCACTCTTCTAAATTTTTTTGATGGTTAAAAAAATAACATTTTATGTAAGTGATAATATTGGCTACAATCTGAAAGAAAACAGGCAAAACTATACATTTTATAAAATATAATTATGTTGAGATATATGCAGGTATCTTGTCAGGATGTGAAAAACAACATTTGCCAATCTGGAAGTTGAATAAGAACAACTGAACTTTGTCAAAACACATGTTCTCAAATCTCTAAAAATATTAATATAAAATATAGTATCTGATTAAAAATATTTCCTGTTACACAGAAAAAAGAGTATACATACCAAGAATTTAAACCAAAGCTAGTGAAACAATCCCAACAATTAACAAAAAACAGTTAAAATTTATTTTTTAGTGGCTTACAGCTACCAGTTGTAGAAACAAAACAAGCTACATAAAAACTAACTCTACTTGGAAGTGAAAAATGCATTTCCACTCACCTTGTTTAATTAAAAAACATGTATTAAGCTCAAAGACAGTTGCTTACATAAAAATTTGTCAAATCAATATTTACTTTTTTAGTGAACATCACAGACACATAATCTACAGCTTTCAAGTGATTTACTTAAAAAAAACCACTGTGTTTATACTTTAGCATATCTATCTGGAAGTGTATTTTCTGGAAAATTTATGTAAGAAATAATTGAGATCAAACTTTTCATGTTACTTACTTCAACAGACCTCTGCTACATGAGAAATTGCTGCAAGATTCTCCAAATAGGCTGACATACCCAGGGCTTCTCCCCAGTGTGAGAATTCCTTCATGTATCTGACAATACTTATTTGTACCAAACATTTTCCCACATTGCTTACATATATGTCTGGTTTCTCCCAGGTGTAAGTACTTTTATGTATACAAAATGAAGTACTAACTACTAAGCTAATCCTTTCCCACAGTGCTTACTTACATTGAGTTGTTCCTCAGTGTGAATTCTTTCATGTATTTGACACTGTGTCTGCTGAATGCTTTCCCACGCTGCATACATACATAGGGCTGCTCTCCAGTGTGAGTTCTTTTCTGTCTACAAAGTGAAGGGTTAGTAGCAATCCTTTCTCACACTGCTTACACACATAGGATTTCTCACTGGTGTGACTTCTTTCATGTATTTGATACTGACTGCATCTGTTGAGTGCTTTCCCACATGCATAGGGTTTCTCACTAGTGTGAATTTTTAAAATGTCTTTGACAATAGCTGTATGTACTTAATACTTTCCCCACATTACGTACACACATAGCGTTTCTCCCCACTGTGAGTCCTTTCATGCTTTTGACAGTGACTGTCCTCTAAATGCTTTCCCATATTGCCTACACACACAAGGTTTTTCCTCAGTGTGAATTCTTTCATGGTTTTGACAATAACTGTGTACTGAACACTTTCCAACATTGCTTACATACATAGGGTTTCTCCCTAGTATGAATTCTTTTATGTCTGTGAAACAAATTATTATGAGTGAATGCTTTCCCACGTTTCTTAGATACACAGGGTTTCTCCCCAGCATGTCTTCTTTCATGTATTTGAATATAGTGGGAGGAAATAAAAACATTCCCACATTGTTCATATACATACAGATTCCTCACACTGTGATTTCTTTCCGGATGTGAACATCACCAGGTACACTGGAGGCTGTCACACTTTTCTTACACACAAAGTTCTCTCCAGGGTGAGTTCTCTCACTAAAATCAGAGTAAATTTTCCTACATTGCTCATATGCATAGGGTTTTGCCTCCAGCTGTAGTCCTGGACTGTTTCTCTAAGGACTAGAAATCACTGCAGGTATTTCTGTGCTCATTACATTCATGCAGCTTTTCTTCAAATCCCAAATACTCAAATGGTTTCAAACCAGTGTGAACTCTGATGGGCCTATTTAGTGATAACGACCAGTCAGGGGGCCTTCTACAACAAGGCTTTCAGCTGGCTTTAAACCAGTTTGTTTCAAGTTCACATCAGCATCTGGAGTCCAAAGGAACATTTCCTCATGTTGATTCAAAGCTTTAAATTGATACATTTGTCTACTTCTTCATTTGTTAGGTTTGTCTGGGAAATTTCATACTCTTCTTCAATTTGCTGGGTATCTCAGGTTCTTCATACAGCAGCTGTCCATAAGTGTTTCCCCCATTGCCAGGCATAGTGATACACTCCTGTAATCATGGCTGTCAGGAGGCTGAGGGAGGAAGATTCCTGAGAGTTTGAGGCTAGCTTGCGCTACCTAGTGAGTTCAAGGCCAGCCTGAACTATATAACAAGACTGTATCTCATAACCTGAAGTAAGTCATTTCAACCTTTCTAAACCTCAATTTTTATGGGATCAAAAGGAGCCAATACTAATTGTAGGCAGTGTATCATAGAGGAGGATCTGAAATGGAAGGAAACAGTTCTCTCAACCATCACAACTGGCACATGCGTCCTTGCCTCAAGGTCTTTCCTGGTTCCAGACTGGCTGTTAACTGGGCTACAGAGTGTCCAGAGGTCCATTCTGGAAGAGGCACTTTTGTAGTTTCCATTGGAGAGGTCTTTCACTTCTTTTGTTAGGTGAATTCATAAGCATTTAATTTTTCTTGATGCTATTATAATGGTGTTGTTTTCCTAATCTTTTTCTTGGTAAGTTCATTATTGGTGTA